ATTATATTATATTATATTATATTATATTATATTATATTATATTATATTATATTATATTATATTATATTATATTATATCACTTCATTTCAAAGTTTTAAACGTTCATATATTACTTTTTTTTTAGTATATTAACACATTATTACAACGCATGGGATTATGGAGAAAATAAATTAATGATCTAAAGAATATAAAGTTGTTGTTGAAATCATTACGTGATTCAAAGCAAATAAACGAACTTTCTCTAAATTGTAAGAAAAATGTTTTAATTCAATAATTTTTTCAAACATAGATTCGAACTGCTCTAAATTTCACTCATGTTATATTAAATAATTAAAAAACCAGCTACAAAATGAATATTCGATAGTAATGGATTATATAAATAGCTACAAGAAATTATTGGCGGCCGATTATCTGCAATTACACGTATAAATTTAGGTTAATATCATATATATTTCCTTTAATTGAAAATGGGAAAAAAATCGTGAACTCACTATTCACGAGAAAGATCCAATAGTCAGATTGTATAATGACAGACATACTAAAAAATACCAAACACTTTCAAATTCCGAAACACCAACAAATAAAAAACAAAGTGGATGACTGAAAGCGCCTGACAATAAAGGTTGAAAAAAATTGTTGTAGAAGCATGTATTGCTAATGATGAATAGTCGGCATGTTTTTATAAAATATTTGAATTTATTAAATTTTAAAAAGTCGCCAATACCTTCTTGTAGCCAGTATAATTGAACGCCTAAACCAGTGACGCTTAGAATTGTAGACACTGTTTAATCCTAAACTATAAACTGTATGCCAATCAGCATCACATGGTTTCGGCGCTCATATTTAATATATTGCGGGACAGCTAGTCCCACAACTGCTGCGCCACAAGGCCGAGTTGGGGTATCTGGTCATCCTCCAGTCTATTGCAAAAATGCACTCACCACAAAGTTTCGAATAAACTTAATCCCGGTCGCATTACCACATAATTTAATTTTGGCTGATAAACTTATTCTTGGCCTGCATTACCGCAGAAATGGCACTACGGTATCTCTTATCCCTCAGCCATTTTATTCTCATACGTACTGTGTGCTCCGTATCATAAAGAACGACATTGTGCAACATGGAGTGTATTTTTCAATTGCTTTTATTTAGGAAATGTTGTTGCTATTATGTTTACACTTTTTTCTGCTCTACTTCTTCCGTGATAACGAAAATGGGCAAGCACAAAAAACAACATAGGCTTTAGATGAAGCAGTAAGTTTGTTATCAATTAGAAAATTGCACGTAAATTATATCAATATATGAGTGCATATAGACAAGGATTAACTGGAACTCTTGCAGAATATCGATATGCAGTAAAAAATATAAATCTCATTGAGTTTTATCGATTTGAATTATTAATAAATTCTTAACGTTAAGGTTAAAATTTAACATTAATTTTAATGCTGGCCAAAATTAAGTGGCCAAATTAAACATAACCATAATAAAATCAATAAAGTTTAAACTCTTATAACTTTTTAATAAATAAACATTTTTAAAAAAACTCTATTAAATTGTAGTTCAAATCTAAAAAAATCCAAATATTGACTTTAAATTTTATTTATTTGCTACCATTTTCAACAAAAATTTCATAATTCAATAATTTTTATAATATCATTTATTTGATATTATACAATCAAATTGATATTACAAAATCATATTTTCATGAATATCACTTTCCTTTTGATTGATAATTAAATTAATTATCAATGAATTACATTTTTTATATATTTTAACATTTTCTTTACTTTTTCCTCATTCTTTACTTTTATTTTTCTTCTCTTATTGCTATTGATATATCTTATCTCCAACAAAAATATTCTTAATTCAAATTTTATTATCTTTAACCAATTATATTTTATTTCTAATTTGTATTTTGTTCTTATTACTATTTTTATTTTTATCTTTAATATTATTATCTCTTATAATTTATCTCATATTATTCAATTTTTTAGAATCTTTCTTTTTACTATGCCCTTATGATTTCTCTTATCTTGTGTAATTTCTCATTTAATTTTTAATCTTTGTTATTTTTTAGTATTATTTATAAATAGTAGTACAATTTAGAATTATTATTAATTATGTAAATTGAAGTAATTATTGAAAATATATAAAAGAAGAATCTCTTATTACTAGAAACTTTCATGCTCTGATTAATAAAAATAACAAAGTTCTTACTTGTAATATTATACTTGTAAATATACTATTATTTTCTTAATCATCTTCAAATTTGACTTTAAGTAATGAATGCTTCTCCATTCTAAATAAGCCATTGACTTTAATATTTTTGTTTATTTTTGTTTTATTATTTTTAGGCTATATTAATAAGTCCTGTTATTTTATTTTCTTTATTGGCAGTCTCAATAAGTCCAATTAATCTTTTTATTTCATTAGACAATCTCAATAAGTCCTGTTATTTTCTTTAATAGTTATTCTATTCTATTTTATTTTAATTTATTATATTCCTTTTCTTTAATTCCCCTCTTTGTTCCCATATTTATTTTTAATAGTTAGTTTGCATACAAGCTACCACAGGAGACCTTTAGAGTCTTTAGTGAACTCCATTAATTGTAAATTATTCAGTCTTTGTTCTTTCACTATTATGTTACTTCATTAATTCATTAATTATAACAATTCTTTAATTAATGAAAACACTAGGTGTCTTGCACTGTATTATGAAAAATTGGATTGGACTCAAAAATAATATATTTAGGTGATAAATGGCACGTCTCATATTTTACGGCAATATCTTTTCACATCAATTTTTCTTAGCCAATAAAATCGCCAAACGTGTAAATCCAAAATTTGACTGGCAATATTATCAAGAAAGTCCTTTTCTATAATATTACTGGTTAAATTTTGGATTTACTTAGTTAAGAAGTTGATAGAATTTTTAACATGAAACATATTGTCGATTTAAGAGTTCCTGCAGCACCATATCTTTGCCACTTTGCTGAAGCTCGCGCAGTCATTGAAAGATATGCAGCACAAATTAGCGCAATTATGATTGTAGGAAAAACATCAAAGAATCCTAATGGCAGCGGGCTATAGACAGGCCAATATTTCTGTAATCACAAATTTGCTATAATTAATTATTCGATATAAAACAAACTTAGAAAAATTGTATGGCTTTGCACTTCCATAAGCTAATGAAAAATGCAAACGTTACCAAATTTAGAGTATATATTTTAGAGGCTATGGATTTTTTAAAAATAATCTGCCTAATTTTGAGACATCTTAAGTCAAAATTGGGCATAATAACATTCTTATTATTTTCGATAAAAATTCCAGTTCCAAAACTGTTGGTGCATTTGCGATAGTTTATGCCAAATGCGTTTTGTGGTGGACGCATCTTTTTCCCCGGCATATATTCACAGACAAAAAGTGCTGTTGTTTAGTTGAATCTCGATTCCGCCGGTTAACAACACATTGCAAAATTAAAGAATTGAAGAATTAAAGAATTAATCTCACGGTTGTTTTTTATTGAGTGAAACTATTTATAAAGAAAATATACGTAAATCTAATTAATAGATATATGTACACAAGAAGATAATTGAAATACTTTCTAATCCTCGATATCAAAATACATTCTTTGTTTTAATTCGTTTAGTAGACCAAGTTCACAAGGAGATTTGATACAATAATTGAAGTAAACACACCCAAACCCAAGTCAACACCATGTCCAAAGCAAGGTCTAAAGCCTTTACGGTTAGCAACACTACTTTTATACTTGTCTATATTTACTTTAAACTCCTTTGGATCACATAATGTCATCAAAGTCAAATTTAAATAAAAATCTGCTCATTAATCCAGGATAATCTTTCAAAAGATTTCCGTTCACTAGGATTGTAACCGCCAATAATTTTGTTAAAATTTTTGACACGCATAGCAACGATGGTTGGACCTTTATCATCACATAAACGGTGGAAATCACTAGGTGTAATTCCATCCCGGCTACCACGCAATAATAGGTTAAAGAATGTTTTCACTATCTTGTTCTTGTATCCATTGAAATATTTTATTGAGTTATTCGAATTACAGATGAGGTGAAGCGATGCTTGTTGTTCCCCACTTCCAGGTACCAAATAATGGTGTAGTAAATCTTTATAAAGCTTTTTTAGTGATATGGTATCACTTTATTATAGAGTTTATATGAAAGAAACGAATTAATGGTAGAGAATGTTTAAGCGCAGCTCTAAGTTCATTGAATTCGTTTTGTGACCATTGGTCCACTGGAATTGATTCCCACTCAAGAACCTTTTCCCAAATTTCAACTTCTTCAAGATTCAAATCATCTCGTCTGAGCAAAGTGATGAGTGCTTTTTCTTGAATTTCTACAAAATCGCTGGATTGAAAAACTGTAGCGGATTTTCGCATGCAATTTCTGTACAGAATTTTTAAAGTTTGGCAGGAGCTGTGTTGAAAAAGCAACTTGATTGAGCATAGCGAAATTTTCGACCATGGATTCAGAATATTGTTCCAAAAGATATTCTTGAATATATTCAATCAAAACTTCCAGAATCAATTCAACTAACAAATTTAGAAGCGTTTGCGCCCCATTAACTGACAAATCGATTTGGCCGCTGTACATATATCTTATATAAAGAAACATAATCACATAGATTAATTTTAATTTAATATATTTTAAGACATTATTAAAATAAAGATTACCTTATTAAGGTTTCAAAAATACGCGGTTCAATCTTTGGTTTCTTAAAGACAATTAGTTTATTCGATTCTCGTCTTATGGTGCATAAAATCCAAAGTCATCAAACGTTTGTATTTTATAAAATGGATAAACTTCTTTACTAATAAGTAAATCCAAAATTTAATCCGTGAATATGCTCAGAAAATGCCTATTCTATCATATTCACGGATTAAATTTTGTATTTACTTCTTAGTAAAGAATTTCATACATTTTATAAAATACAAACGTTTGATAACTTCAGATGTTATGCACCATACGTATATAATTCATTGCTTCGAACTTTGGCTATAATAACCAATCAGAAGTATCTGCTCTTATCACATGACTAGATTTGAAACTGGCCAAATTGTTGTCTTTATTAATAATAATAACTAAATATTTTCTAGTTATCTTAATTTTTTATATAAAAACTTTAAAAATTGAATTTATTTTTTGTTAATTATAGATATTATATACTATATTTAAGTTATTATTATTATTATTATTGAAAAATGATAAAACATCTAAAAAAAAGTCATTATTATTTTTAAAAAATTGTTATTATTTAAAAAATCAATATCATAAAAAAAATTAAGTGATAAAAAAATAAAAACAAAATTAGTTTTGTATTTTTCATATCATATTTTCTATTATAGAAAAAATTCTTTGTACTTTATATAGTTAATCAAAATAATATAAAAATAAATCATTACTGTTACTATTTTTATAAGTTTTAAATTATTTATATATTATTATATATTTCTATTTAAAATATAAATAATATATATTTGTTTTGGTGATAAATTAAAATAATATCAGATAACTTTAATAATTTTAATATAAGTTTAATAAGTTATAATACAAACTAATAAGTTTTAAGTAATTTTTTATATAAATTAATACAAAAATAATTTATTATAAGTAATTTATCTTTTAATATCAAATTCAATTTAATATATAACTTGAAATATTTTACAAATTATCTATTAGCTTTTTAGTAAACTATTAATTTTAAGCTAAGATATATATGATATTTATATAAATTAATTATAATATAATATTACTAGATTTATTATTAATTTTATTAATTTGATAAATTTAAATTATTAAGAATAGGAACTATATTTACAAAAAATTAATATATATAAGTATTTATTTTTATTAATAAATATTAAGTTAAATAAATAACTAATTTTATAAAATTAATTACTTATTTAATTAAAATAATTATATAGAAAAAAATTTTAATCTTACTTTTATTAAAGTATTAATTTAATTAATATGAGTATTAATATTATTATACAAGTATTAATATTATTATACAAGTATTAATATTATTAATATAAATAAAAATTAATAACTAATTATAAAACAATTGTTTAATAAGATTATATTAAATATTAATCAATAAAATATTGTTTAATAATATAAATAATATAATTATTTAATTAATAAAATATTTGTTAAAATCTATATTACAATAAAAGTTTTTTATAAATTTTGCTTTCAAAAC